GCATTTCTAAAGGATTTGTATTGAAAATATTGTAAATAAAAGTGATATTAGAGCAAAGTGTGGTGTGATCATTTATGCAGACACTTATGTTAACTCTGTGTACCTGCAGTTGTGACAACCAGGGCTTCTTTCCCGGGCCTGCATCCAAGGATTGAGGGAAATGAAAAAATTCATTTCCTGTGCTTTACTTAAATATTTTTGGAATAACAAATATTCTGGTTGATTCCCGTAATATAAACAAAAATCTTTAAAAAGCGATGTGCACAAGGCCAGACAAAGAAAACAATGAGACAGTGACGGTGCAAGGAGCAGAGGTCGTGGGGTCAAGCATCCAAAGAGAGGTGAAGGAGAAACCTGGAACAACATTTATTATGATGATGTGGGAACAACATCCGGAAAGCAGTGCCAGGGGTGATTTGTGACAAAAGGATAGCAGCAAGAGTGAAAGGGAAAGTTCACAAGATGGCAGTGAGACCTGCTGTGACGCATGGTTTGGAGATGGTGACACTGAAGAGTTTGAAGGTTTTCATTGGGAGTGACCAGGAAGTGAGGTTAGAGAGGCGAAGCTGAGATACCTTGGACAGAGGAGACACTGGAAAAAGGATGGTAAATATGGAGCTATCAGGTATGAAGAAAGGAAGAAGACAACAAAGAAGCTTCAAGGATGTAGTGAAGGAGGACATGCAGAGGTTTGGTGTGACAGAGGAGGATTCTAGGGACAGAGTGAAAGGGTGGCAGATGAATCTCTGTGACAACCCCCAAAGAGAAGGAAGAAAGGCAGGAATGAGCTGGAATATATTTAGGGTTCAGCACTAAAGATGGGGAAGGATCAAGAGGAACTGATGAAAGAACATATTTTAAAACTACTGTGTGTAATATATGAATGGTATATTGCTTTAACTTTAACAAAACTTTAAATTCTTTTTGCCTTGTTTTTTACATTAACTGGGACAATCATATAAAAAGGACACATATACAAATCTTTTAAAAACATGTGTAAATGTTCTGCGAATGAGAAAAAAGGTTAAAAACAGTCAAACATGTAGAGCCTTCATGTTAAAACCCGAGCACAGACGCCTACAGGTACTATCAGCTGTCAGTGACAAAGGGGCGTTACCCTACTGTTTGCGATGATGTCACTACTACGCTGCTTCTTGCTATTGGTTCGAAAGCTTCCGGCTTCTTCTTCTGGAGAGAGAACTGTAGATGAAGGCAAACAAGAAGTCAGCGCTACAATGAGCAGATATTTTCATTAGACTGGGGGTAAAGTTCACTTCGCTCACAGTTTTAACCTTTCCCTAAACGCTCTGTGTCTTACTTGCCGTGTGGGATTAACGGAGCAGCTCGGCTGTCTGTCAGAGAGGATTATTTAACTCGAAGCTGACCGCAGCCATGATGGCGTCGAGCTACAACGCTAAGGAAGAGGACGGACACCACTCCGGCGCTTCGAGCGGCACTGGCGTTTCGAAAAATAAGAAACCGGACAACACGGCGTTCAAACAGCAGAGACTTCCAGCCTGGCAGCCCATCCTCACAGCAGGCAGTGTGCTGCCGGCTTTTTTCGTCATTGGGCTCATCTTTATCCCCATCGGCATCGG